TATGATTCATCGATTGAGATTCTCATTCTCAACAGTAGTCAATTTCTCTGGTTGAATTTCAACCACTCAACGAACAGAAGGAGGAGTTGTGAAGAAGGATGTCGATTTTCTGTGCTGTTTTTGAAATATAATCTGCCTGTAGAGGGTTGTAGTTTAGCATGGCATTGGAGGAAGTGAATGAAGTCATTCAGTCCATGTTGTCCATGTTTCCAAATATTAAGCAATTGAAGTCAGAGCAAGAGGCATGTCGAAAACATTTTACTGATGGCAAAGATGTGGCCCTGCTATCTAGAGGGTTTTTTGACTGTGCATGCACTTCTACTAAGCTTGGAGTAAGCTATGGCCAGTAAATATATCAGTATTATATAAATGGCACAGCAGGGTCAGCAGATAGAAAATTAGAATAACAAAACTCTAGCATAAACAAAAAGTTTCACTTTTAACTTAAACTGCAGGTGTGTCAATATCTGATACATTTTTGTTTTTAATTCAGGGAAGTTATTGTAAGAGGAAGATTTTAGTTGAGTAAGAGTAAAAATTACAGTTTAGTAAAACTATTCCGAAAAGTTTTTTCTCAAAACTCTCCTCCAGTAAATCTGAGTCTGTATTTGGATCAGTTCCCTTTGTAAGTTAGACCTTTTCAGTGTTTTTAGGGGTTAGCATCAAACAAGTACAGCATATCAAAAGAGTATATTGTATATATATATATTGCATATATATATATATATATATATATATATATATATATATATATATATATATATATATTGTGTATATTGCAAATATACTATTAGTTGGAATAGGAGTTGTTCATTGTAATTTATAGGATGAATCCTACTTCCCCATTGTGACATTTAATTAATTGTAGTTTTTTTTTCTTTTTTTTCACATTTTATTATTGTGAGCTTTAATTTTCCACCACCAAATAAGAAATGCAGTGACAATACTGAATTACATTACAATTAAACTTGCAAAGTCAAAAACTATTTATTGTTCCATCAACAAGATCTGTTTAAAAAAAAAGAAAGAAAGAAAACAATTAAACAAAAGAGTGGGATCTTGATTGCAAATTATACCATACTGTTAATGGTCTGCCAATGCCTGTTTTATCAAACATAAAAGTTATTTTTTTACATTAAATACTCTAAAATCAAAACCTCTACAGTTATGCAGAGAAAAGTCATATCTTACCGAACCATAAAGTTTCCCCTTGTCACTCATGGCGATGAACAGACCACTTCTGATCCCATACAAAGTCACAACTCCTCTTTCCACTGGAGAAATTTCTAAAAGGCCTTGAGGGAAGAACAGTAGTTAAAAATTATGGAGAAACCAAATGTGAATAGAAATAATTCTTACTCCCAAGTTGGAATAAAGACGAAGTTGTTTGTGATATTTTCAAATGTTGATCTCACAGAATTAATTACTGTGAAGATTTAAGCACTTGTTTAGTCAAATGAGCACAACTTAAGCAACTTGACCCCAGAGAGCAACAGATAACATATTAATGTTGAAATCTGCAACACTGGATGGCACGGGTGTGCATCAAGTGTTAGTGGTCCACCCTGATTCTATATCGATGAGTTACTAGACAGAAAGCTACAAACTACACCAAGCTCCTCTTCTACATCTGGAAATACATTTCATTTGAAATGATTCTTCATGCAATCTAGCTAAGACCTATTCTATGATAGAAACCATCTAGAAATATGCCTGACACATTATTACAACTTGTGTAAACATTTTGGTCATTAAGACTTATATGATATGTTTAAATTTTGAGAAGATTGTGACTATTCAACAGAGTCATAATTTCATCATTTTCACAAACATGTCATAAGTGATTAAAATGTCTGAAAAAGCAGAGAGTTGTACATAATCACTGGCACTGATTTACAAAAGCATTTGCAATCTGCTTAAAGGAATGAAACTGCTGTTATGATGCTCACCAGGGACAGATGAAAATTGAAAAAATCTGTCTGTCTACCTACCTCTCTCTCACTCTATCTATCTATCTATCTAGTTAGTTATAATATATACAAAACAGACAGTTTGGTAGGGGAGTTAATGACTAGAGCTCTTAAGACCAAAATATCCTTTATGACTTAGAGTTTATTTTTCAAATTCAATTAATTGAAATAAGAAATATACATAGATTTAAAATTTTGTGACATAATAGATTGACAGATGTTAGAAATTCAAAAAATTAGGGGAAGAAAAAGGAACTGAAATATTTTTGTAGCTCATTTAATTAAAGAGTTATTGCAGATAGCAAAGGCTGTCAACAGAAAACATCTCCTGTAGCAGTCCTTATTGAAATGAATTTGAAGAAGCCTCTGACTGAAGATTCTCTGTTTTATAAGACAGTCTCGTAAGGAGAATGGTCAGAGTTGTCAATAATTTTCTTGATTTTATGAAGAATTCTTTTCTGCACCATCACCTCCAGAGTTTCCCCAGGCATTCCCAGTTCAAAACTAGAGCAGAACCAGAACAGAACCAGCCTTCTTTATCAGGCTGTTGATCCTTTTTAGGTCCCTGGTTCTGATGCTACTGCCTCAACAGATGATGGGAGAAAAGATGAAACTCTCAACAACAGACTTATAGAAGATCTGAAGCATCTTGCTGCAAACTGTGAAGGATCACAGCTTTCTCAGGAAGTCTAGTCTGCTCTGTCTCTTCTTATAGACACTTCACTGTTGCATCTCCAGTTGAGATTGTTGTCGAGATGAACACTGAAGTATTTCTACTCTTCAACCACCTCACTTCCTTTCCCATGATGGAAACAAGATTTGATCTAACCCTGTTCCTCCTGAAATCTAAAATCATCTTCTTTGTTTTGTTTACAGTCAAGATGAGATGATTGTTCCGACACCTTGACATAAAGTGGTCCAATATGGAGACATATTCAAATTTGCTTCCTTCTAAATAAAATCAGAAACTGCACTCAATTAATTGTTTTGTAATTAAATAAATCCCATAAATGTAAAAATGAAAAATGTTAAATATAATTTCATTCAGTAGTAGTTCAAAGTCCATCTCTACAACCAACAAAAACTAATCAATCTTGCACAATGGAACAAGTTTTGTTTTGAGTTACTAAACAGAAATCTTTGTGTTGGGAAGACTTCTGGATCTGAGCTGGCAGCAATCGCTTCAGAGTGTCCGATCAGAACACTTATTAGATTTGTGTGGATGCGGAACAGATCAGAAGACCAGTTAAATTTTTCTTCTTTATATAGAGGGTTGCCAGAATGGACATGAAGCAGGTATATATGTGTGTGTGTGTGTGTGTGTGTGTGTGTGTGCGTTTGTTTGTAATACCTTGTGGGGACGATTTTCCTGACATATACTATGTTGTGGGGACCAATGGGATATATGCCACGGACTTCCGTTTTAGCACTTCCGCATTTTTTAGCCACATAGACACTTCCGGTGCGCAGGCAACAGTATGTTAACAGTGGCCTCTCAGTCGCTGCATGACTATTAATGATGCCTATAAAATTATTCAGACGTCCTGAAACGCTCCAACAACAACAAAGGATTTAAGCTGGATGTGTCAAAACGTCACTATAACTTCGAAGGTAAGTTAATAAATCGTTTGTATTCACCATAATGCCTCATATGTCTGACGTAGCTAACAGGGACAAGCTTAAAAAGGTGCTATGTAAACGTTAAGTGTTTTGACTACCTGTGCAGTGTGCAATCTACATATCTATGCTTTATAGATAGTTATATATCTATATAAACATATATAGATCTGTCTATACTGTGCCCAAGCTATCAGTCAAAACTGAAGTTAGCTTCCGAATGTAGCATCTAATTCGGAAAATAGCTAAAGGGCGATTACACTTAATTCTTCACTATCTTGAGCTTTTTTAATGTGTTGTACTTTAGAAACTACAACACCTAGACATTTCAAACCTAACTAGATTATTCTGTAACAGCAGAATAAATAAAACATTTGTGAAACCTTCTAATTGACTTGTGAAATTTGTAAAATATCAATAATAGAATCCAGAACGCCTTAGATCTGAATTATTAAACTGGCATTATTTGTTATTTTAACTTCCCGTTTTCTTTCTTTTTTTAGTCTTTATTGTAGTTGGAGTTGGACAGGAGTTCTGTTTGGTGGCTTCCTGGAGGGAGAGATCTGCTGAGCTAATGTTGCCAACAACTTTTCTCCTGTTATTAACGTTTTGCTTGTCTTTATATAGAAAGTATTTCTATCAGTAGCTCTTTCCATTTTGTTTACAGTATTTGCTCTATTTTTTATTTTTACCTTAATGCTTACCTGGTCAGTTGAGGTGGAAATGTACATCCTATTGATTACTGACAAATGTCAGAACCACATGGACTGAGCTGGTTACGTCAGATCAGTCTGAATCTTTATTTCTCATTAAAACGACTTCTTGTAATTTTGAGACATTATTATAAAATTGCATCTTTATTCTGCTGTAACGATGACTGCATTCTTGCAATTAAAAAATCGTGTATCCTGACCATAATGCTTCCTTATACAACTCACAGAACAGATGATTGAAATAAAGGCACTTTTTGAAAATATTTTCTGTGATTTTATTATAGAAATTGAGGATGGGAGGTATTGATTAAAATCAAATCTGATATGAAAAAAAATCTTGTAAGTCATATCATCAAGCCTTATTCAGTATATGAAATTATATGACTAACTGCATATTAGTTAATATTCACATTTCTTTGCTGGTATTACCTAAAAGTGTTGCATTTTAACATCTCACTTGAACTCCTGATCTACATGCAAATACTTGATATAACATAAAAACTGAGAAATGGGGAAAAAAGGTTTGTGAAATGTAGAGTATTACAAATGAGATTCAATTTTATTGTAGGTACAAACAGGATAGCAAAATGAACATTGAATATACAATGTACTTCCTAGCAGCTAATCAGACATCAGACTTGTTTGCCTTTACTGGTGATGAAAACTCGTCACTCTGGAGGAGAGGAGGACCGGCTCAGCCCTGTCCAGGATGACAACAGTGTCAGGGTAGCCAACAAAGTCTGCAGGCAGATTTTTGCATATCTGGTGCTCCGGTGTGAAGATCATAGTTTAACCAAGTAAAAAAAAAGTTAGTCCATGTTGTGATGATCCGGCAGACAGTGGACTGATGGACGCCATCAGCTGGTCCAGGTGATTGGATCCAATGGAAAGGTAATCAGCACAGCGATCATGGCTCAGAAACACATCATGAGGTGTTGCGATGCAAACCTGAAAAATTAAAAACACAAAAAACCCAATAAGCGTCCATATTTAGCTGAACAACGTAATCAAAACTAATAAATCCTCAGCTCTTTTCGAGAGTTTTTCTTGAAAATAAATTGACAATATCTCAAGAAATTAAACGTTTAAGTGAAATAGTTCTGGTATCACAAAGACACTGCAAAAAAATGTTTCAGAGGTGTAAAAACACTGAAGTTACTGAGTAAGAGTGAAATTAAATATTTACTACACAGAAAATGCATGTTAAAATCTGAATACTCTTGAAAGTGTGCAGCTGAAATTAATTTAAACTACTAGCAGGCAAAGCACAGTGTTCGCCTAATATCTGCACCAACAGTAATACAAAAAATTATGCATATAAGGCATTAGTTTATAAAAGTCGAGGCAAACCTAAATTTACCATTTTAAAAACAAAAAGCAGCGGGAGGATGTAACTTCATAACCTCATTTTCTATGCAGAATCTCAGAGAGAGAGAGAGAAAAAAAAAGAGAAATTACGATGTGTAACTCAAGAACAGATTATAGCAGCCAAGTGGAAAAATTCACTCTAACGTGGATTATAATTATGAAACAGCAGAGGTAAATGTCATTTTCGGGATTCGGGAAATTTTTTACCATTTGTTCTGTGGGTTTTTCATGTAGATCGGTGCCACTTAAGCGGCTGTAAAGCGAAGGTTTTGCACATTATTCTGACTGACTTCTTGTGTGGTTTGGATCGGGCTGAAGCATTGCTGCTCTCGGCTGTTATTAAATTACCGTGCTCGGTATCGCAACTGCATGTTAAATGTATTTTATATATCATATAAACAAAAGCTAAGGAGTTGCCTAAAAATTATTTCATACTCGTATAACACAAACGTATCAACACACATATCGACTTACCTTGTGCCGAATCGCTGCCTCTGTTCTCAGCCTGTTTCCGTAGCAGTAGATTTCCTCCGGCATTATTTTCCTCCAACAAATTATTCCACTGAACGAAGCACGAAGCGCGTTCAGCTCCCTTTTAACCTCCGTCTTTCCATTTCTGACGCTGGATCTTCAGTATCCTCAAGCTTTGAAATAGCAGGCAGCTACAAACCGTGTGTTAGCTGTAGTGGCTAAGTTTTGGCTACAGTCCACTGTCGCCTTGATATCAGCAGGAAAATGAAAAAACTAAGCACCGGATGGTACCGGCTAATTACTGGACACAACGGCACACCACAAAACTCGATTGTTGTACCAGTAACTAGCAGATATTTTAAGTTTTGCGTCTTTTTCATGGTACAGATCTTGCTGCTTTGGCCAAAAACAATAGGAGCAAGCAGGACCCGGAACCAATCTATGTGGCATAAATTCAAACGGAAATACGTCACCACCTCTCGAGGCATATACCCCATTGCTCCTCGTGGGGACCGGAGGAGCAATTGGTCCCCAATTTTTTGGGTCAGGGGTCAGAGTTAGGGCTAAGGTATGAATTGAGTTTTGGTTAGGGTTAGGAAAAGGGTAAAGGTAAGGGTCACCAACTCCAGTCCTCAAGGGCTACCATCCTGCAACTTTTAGATTCACCTCTGCTCCAAAATGTCTGAATTTCCTCACCAGCATTCATTCCTCTCTGCAATAGGCTGAAGACGAGCAGTTTATTTGATCCAGGTGTATTTGAGCAGAGACGCATCTAAAAGTTACAGGATGGTAGCCCTCGAGGACTGGAGTTGGTGACCCCTGGTTTAGGCTGTAGAAATGAATGGAAGTCAATGGAAAGTCCCCACAAAGATAGCAACACAAACGTGTGTGTGTGTGTGTGTGTGGTTCTTTAACCTGTTGGTCTCAGGTTGTCATTCACAATGACAGGGGTGTCAAACTCCAGTCCTCAAGGGCCGCTGTCCTGCAGTGTTTAGATGTGCCACAGGTAAAAAACAGTGGAATGAAATGGCTTAATTACCTCCTCCCTGTGTAGATCGGTTCTCCTGAGCCTTGCTAGTGACCTAATTATTATTTTCAGGTGTGGTGCAGCAGAGGCACATCTAAAAGTTGCAGGACAGCGGCCCTTGAGGACTGGAGTTTGACACCCCTGTCACGAGAGGACCCAAATTTGGGCCCTCTCGTGACAGACAGGTTAAACAAACAGAATAATACAAGCCAATTAGAACCACAGTTACAATGTCAACATAAAGATAAAGCAAAGCTGTAAATACACTGTAGAGCTAAATAACAGAAACATAATTGCATGAATGATAACATTAAACATACAGGTTTTTGAATGCACAGTCATTGGCTGCTTCTTTCGCTGCTTTTTTCTCTCTATGAGGCTACCAAGCTGCACACCTGTGTTGCATTAAGGTTGCATAGGAAATCTCCTACACAGTCATACCCTTTTGTATACTTTGCCTTTAGTATTACTAATACTCAAACTCCTTATCTCCCACTAATCACAGATTTTCATTCTTCTGATAGCCCCTATACAACAATAATGTTGCAAAAAAGAACATTTAACCAGCAAAATTTCTATTTGTTGTATAAGAAGACAAAACACAGTTAATGTAACATTTATAGTTTGCATAATTCAATGGTAAACATCTATGTTGAAATTGAATAACTACAACCAATCTGTGCTGATTAAAAATAAAAAAGTAGTCAATGTATAAACTATTTGACAAATTCCTGACATTAATCAAGGTCTTTGTTATTATTTTCATCATGAAATGTCAAAAATACTTACTGTATTTGTTTTCATTGTGTACTCCTGTTATTTTTCCATTTGGTAGGACCTGAATATGGAAGCCGATGCCCACGTTACAGTAAAGTCTTCTAAGTCTTTTTATTCCCAGCAGATACTGTCCATCTCTTTCTCCATCTTCTCTTTTGTTCAAAGTGAAGCTGCTGCTGTGCACCAATGATCTGGCATTGCGTGTGCTCTGTTTTGTCCTGCTGAGTGTAAGAGTGGCATATAAGCTGCACAAGAAGATCCCATACAGGAAAAAAGAGATCTTGGACCTTGAAAATGACATACTCTATATACCAGTAGTGAAAGCAACTCAGGTGTAGCCTAAGTTTTTCACTTATAGGCAAACATAGAGATAAAAACCAGCATATATTCTAAAAAAATGCTTACAATTCTGGACTTCTAAATGGTGAAAATCACTTGTAGAGTGCATACTGAAACATCCCTAAACATCCAACTCTGATTGCATGTTGTTTTTCTTTTGTATGATTTTTTTCTGGTTTTGCTTTATCCTCAGACAGTCACACACCTAGTAACTGTCCAGACTTATATGCATGCTGCATTACGTCACATACCGCCTGCTGTCTTGTTTATCTGTGAGTCACAGGTGCTGTAGAAGCACAGACTGAAAATACCTTGAACATGCAGTGACAGAAAACAAACATAGACACGCAAGCATTTAAAGCAGGAAAAATAATAATAAAAAACACGTCAACTATTGGTGGCATAAACACAGGTGCTCCTCTTGCGCCATTTGAAACCAATTGCATCAACTGTTTGTAAATATAAATAGCGCAAAGTCATTGCTTTGCAAGTCACAAGTTAGGATTAAGTCTTTCTACCCAGGTCTCGAGTCAGGTCTCAACCAGACTTAAAAGGTCCAAGTTGAGTCCAACGATAAAACAGGGAAGTCCCAAATCAAGTCAGAATCCTAAACTTTTAATTTCATGCCTTAAAGCATACAATGAAACATGCAATTTAATCACTGAATGATGATTATAATTTCTGGATTTCTAAAATGTTTGCCCAAACAACTATCAAGAGGAACTGAAAATACCTCAGACTGCTGATGTGAATCAAATTAAACATAATAATGATTCATAATAAATTAGATTTTTTATGCATCATTAAAATGATCACAATGTTAAATATGTTACCATAGAAACCGTGCAAGATGCTTTAAAGTGTAACGGAAATAAAAACGGAATGCAGGCATTCTGCTGCTGGCTAAGGGGTTAACCAACATCAACAGCACAGATTGCTCTGACATTACATAATTATCATCAGATCAATAAACTAACAATTAGTATTATATGTGCAAGTATAGAACAAACTTTGTGATTAAACTAATTTCATTAGATTTCATTATGCTGTTGACGTTTATCAGAAAAGATGAACAAATACTGGCTTTGTTCAGAGAACATGCTTAATCAAAGAACATATTTGAAAGAGAGAAATGCTTATGCTTGTAAACTTATGTACCATGTAAGCTTATGTAAACTTATGTAAGCTTATGCTTATCATGTAAGCATAAGCTTTATTGTTGTTTACAGCCCACATATTTTGCCTGACATATTTTTTGTTATATTTTAATGAGGATCTTTTGTCAAATTGCTTCTTCTGAGTTGAGCATGCCATTTTATTTCCTTCTCCATACAGTTCAGTTTTAAGGTAGTTTAGTGACATAGCACCACTTCACATAGACATTGTCTAAGAAAAAATAACTAAAGATGTCAGCTGAATGTCAATTGATATGAATTGACATGATATGGACCTTGAACCTTACATATATCAGTGAACACACATCACAGATATATATATATATATATATATATATATATATATATATATATATATATATATTTTGAGAGAGAGAGAGAGAGAGAGAGAAGGGGATATAAATCCCCTTCTCACCCTCCGCGGATGGTCTCTCTTTCATCCTCTGAGCTCGGGTCCTCTACCAGAGGCCTGGAAGCTTGAGGGTTCTGCGCAGTATCTTGGCTGTGCCTAGTACTGCACATTTCTGGACTGAGATGTCTGATGTTGTTCCTGGGATGTGTTTTTGCCACTGCTCCAGTTTGGGGGTGACTGCCCCGAGGGCCCCGATGACCACAGGCACCACTGTGGTCTTCACCTTCCAGGCCTTTCCAGTTCCTCTCTGAGGCCCTGGTATTTCTCCAGTTTTTTGTTCTCCTTTTTCCTGATGTTGCAAACATTTGGTATTGCTACATCCACCACAACTGCTTTCCTACGTTGTTTATCCACCACCACAATGTCTGGTTGGTTCGCTATTGCCATTTTGTCTGTCTGGAACTGGATCTGGAAGTCTGTGTATCTCTTTAGGCCAGCCGCCTAAAGAGATACACAAGAGAGAATGAAGCCAGGAGGATTAACCGGCTCTTCTCCACCCAACCAGCTAAAGTGTACTCTCAATGGCAGGGTACTAACAACAGAGCAGACCCACCAAGGCTGGAGACTGAACAGAAAGCCTATGACTCAATGCCACACACTTGGATCATTGAATGCTTAGAGATGTACAACATCAATAGGACTCTAAG